GAAATTATAGCTATTCTATTAACAAAATCAAATCAATAAAGTTTAATTAAATGATTATACAGTAACATCTAGTTATATATAAATAAAATAATATATAATTGCATACATCATTTATCATAAATGACAATTATGTAATAATAAAAATTAAGGTTTATAAATATGTACATTTTTTCTCGTATACGCTTAATAACAAAATATATAATAATAAATATAATGTAAATATAATATATGTATATTATTTATAAAATATATATTTTTATAATAAAATTGAAAAACTGTCTATGGCTCTTGATAAAACAAATAAGATACTTTCAATTATTCTCATGATATCTTTTTATTCCAGATCGGCATTCTCATCCTTTCTCATTACTACATCCTACGCCGATTCGCTCCTTATCGGAAGTTCGACGACTTCATCGATCGGCCGACGATAGCGTGCAACTTATGTCGAATGAATAAATTTCGTCTGGGAGATCCTGATCGGAATGGTTTCTCATGACTGAAGGATGTTCATTACTGCCGAATATCCTTCGAGAAGGCGATCGCTAAGTCAAAGAAAATTTCGTTTGTACAAACGAAATTTATGATCGATTCCGGGCAAGGTTCGTTCTAATTACGAAGGTTGGTATACAAGAAATACGAAGGACCATCGAGATTTTCATGTATCTGATTCTTGGTCAGATTGAAATACTATAATACGTTTGAGATGGATGTAACAGGAAATCACAAACTAATTAACGAAACGCAATGAGTGTGATTTTTGAGCGCAATTAATATTCTCTTCAATGAGAAGATAAAAGAATGCGCATATTGAAAAAAATAATGATTTCATTATTTAGAATTTTAATAGTCCATTAAACTTTTTTCCTTTCCGTTAAAAATCATTTCTCAGTATTGTTATGAAATATATTACTTCGATCTTTCAATCAATTTATACTAAATAATTTTTGTAATTATTCTGATTGAATTGCTTAATATGTTATTTGCAACTGCGATTACATATTTTATCAATAGAGGCCTATTTTTTTACAAAACCATTTAATAAATGATCGAAATGCATTTTGTTACCATTTTATTTATATTTTAATAATTAAATATTAAATACATTATTTTTTTTCTTATTTATATTCATTCACTAACAATGTAATGAGTAATATTAGTTGCTTATATAACTAGGTATTCTTCAAAATAAATATTCGTGTTTTAACTTTTCAAGAATACGCCAAATCGAAGAGTAAGAACTCAAAGATGTTACAAAATATTTTTTATCTGCTAATTTGCAAGATATTTGAAAAACTGCACTGTTTGCATAATTATTATCAGACTAATGAAAAATATTATCTCCGCTAAATCGTCAGCTGAGAGTGTGAAATATTTAATATATTTGTTTTTAGACATTAAATTTATATAATTTGAATGCGAATATCTCTTTAAACTTTGTCTTACGAAGAGCAATATACCGTTATGTAACATCATTAAAGAGAAGCACGTTTAAAACACTTATGAAATTATTACTCATTATAAATGCGATATTATCGAAATTCCTTGTTGATAGTTATTGTTGATGCACACATCTATAAATTATTAGTGCAATTTAGATGTCTATTTTGTGTAGCTGTTTTAGAAATATTTCACATTTACTTGTAATATTTTCTATCATTGAACATTAATTGATCAATCTTAATTGTTATTGAGCTAGCAGAAATATTTTTGTCTCCAAGTTATGTACATATACGTAGGAATTTCTGTTTTGAATAATTGCGAGGAAATTATAAGCACAAGATGCACAACAGTTTTTCTGGTATCAAAACTCACTTTCATCAACGATTTAAAAAAAGAAATAATTTAACTGACTTACATACACATGTGAAACCGATTCTTAAAAATAATTTTAACGCTGACGATGCGCCAAATGTACAGGCCTCAATGAAACAATTCCTCAAATTAGGTAAATAGACGATTAGCCATAAGATCTTTTTTATAGGGCTGAACAATAGACAGACTTGTCGATAACGATTTACTTCCGAGATTGAAAGTAATATTTTTTTTTAACGATAAAAACCATTGTCAATGAATTCTCAACGAATCAGAAACTCTTATTTGCTCTTCTCTTTTTAGAAATGATGACGCATGACTATGATAATTCATAGATAGGTTTCTGTAAAATCTGATGTGCTTTTCTTAAATCCGATATTATAAATCTTATTATGATACATTATATAAAAATGTACTTGACATCTCTTTATACATAAAGAATCTTGTGCAAAGGTTGAATAAAATTATATACATTACTGTACTTAAAATGTCAATTAACTTTATGCGAGTCGCTTAACGAGAAATTTATTGGCATTTGTAATTCTAAAAATTATATGTTGTCTTAACATATAACATTTATTTATTATAGAAATAAAATGATAAATTGCTCATCACTTATATGAATTGTAATAAAAAAGAAAATAGAATGTATTTTTTCAATTATTTATATCAATTCTACTTCTGAAAGCTGAATATTAAATTTATTTTATTATTAAAATTAACATTGAAGCACATCAGTTTTTTTTACAGATAATTTACAAATTTGTCAAGAAACATTTGATACGGTTTTCTAATAAGTTTAAATAATAATAGGAACGGGTGGCCGACCGAATGCAGTAGAATTCTATTTATCACCCAGAAATAACACTATTAAAATATTATCATTAAAATTTATACATATATTCATGTATTCATCTCTCATGTAAAAAAAAAATCATAACCAATCGTTAGGACAACTACAAATTCATTAATGTAAAGTAAGGCTATATTACGAGGATTAAAAATAGAAACGGACTCACTAAAAGTATCTAATCGGTGGCGGTCACCCAATAACGCGACGAGAATTATCGGCGCGATTTTAGCAGGGTTTATATAAACTTTGGAAAAAAAACCAGTAGTGGAGTACCTAGAAAACTATTATTATATCAAATTAGAGTTTACTTGACTTGGCCATTGAGAATTGAGATAAATTATATTGTAATTGTACTTAGATCTCGTAAGCGTTAATTTGAGCGCCTACGCTCGGAGCAAAGATACGAAAACGAGATAAAGCGATAAAAAAGGAAAAAAGATAGTAGAGAAACTTATTTAATCTAGTCGAGTGTAATATAGAGTATTTCACGTGGAATGTCCATGGATGTGTAACATGTTCGGAACAAAAGTGAACCTTGGGCGATATTCGTAGCCGTTCTTCTTGACAAATATTTCTTTTATAAAAACAAATATACATTTTTTTTTTAGAAGTTATCTTCTCTTGGAACATTAGTAAATTTTTGTATTTTATATAATATGAAAAAGATATATATTTTATCTTTATTAAATTTTTTTATTTTCACGTACGTATCTATTTATTTATAAATATACAAGAAAATTATATAAGAAATGACTATAAATATCGCCCTATCCGAAACTTGCAATGTTATTTTGAATATATACATAACCACAAATGGATTTTTAATATTAATTAAGTGAATCATAGAACTTTTTAAATACGAATTTATGTTTGAAATGCAATTTACGAATTGCTTAATCGTCTCATCCTTTGAATAACTGATGATAATAAGAATATTACTGAACATTTGTAGTACTGAGACATCAAAGTATGATGTATTAATAATCCATAGCATAGATTAATTTGATAATTAATGACTATAAAAAAATTTGTTAACGAATGATAATTTGCGTAGATTCAATGAGCTTTGAGCGAAGAAATTATTATAACAATTATAATAACAAACAGGCATTTGTTTTTTTTTTTTAATAGTCGAAATCATAATCTATTTTATTTTATTAGGTAACGGCCTATAAAGCGTATACTCATTAAAAGCAATGAATTAAGGATAAACGAAACAAACAATTTTTCCAAATATTTTTGCTTCGAAGAATTTTAGATATGTACCGAACATTTTTGTTATACAAAACATGTTGCAAGCTCCAAATAAAAAAAAAGAGAGAGAGAGTTCTTTAATGGACGCACAGTTTACAATTGATTTAAAATACTGCAGTCTGTAAAACTTATGTATGTAGAATACAAAGTTTTTCATGTAAACATGTCTCAACAAAGTTATATCGGCGTATCATTTAAAGAGATTATTATCGATTGTAACTTTGATTTGTTACTGTTTTACTTATTGTCAATATTTTCTCTTCGCAACTACATTAATACTGATTTGTGCGCAAAAACCAATAGGGAAATGAACAAAGTAAAACAGCTAAAAAAAACAAATCTAGGAGATAAAAAGAAATATAAAATACATTAAAAAATATAATTTATATTTCAATAACAATAATTATTATTATATTGAACGCCTGTTTGTTCTCTTTGAATTCTATCTCTAACTTCTTGTGTGTGTATTTCGGTATTTGTTTTTGCAACAAATCAGGAGAGAGATCGTAATTAATACTGATATTATTAATATACTCGAACGATATACTTGAAAAAATGAAGAATGTCAAACATACAACACGCAACAAACACATACACACATGGACACTTGCAAAGTATGCATTTTGCGATTGCGTGAGGTTCGCGATCTCTAGAGATGTGTTTGTTGTTTTCGAATAAAAGTGAAATATATTTGTGTTACTGTAATGCTACGTCGTGTAATTTATTACCTCTTACTCATCACACAGCAATTTAATCCTCTCGATAATTTTAATATATTTTATATAAGAAGATGAAAGATGAAAATAAAAAAGAGATGAAAGAAAATGAAGTTGAAGATAAAAAAAGAGAAACAAATAGAGAAATCCATTATATTCTCCTGAAACGTGAATCTATAAGAAGAGTTGTCAGCATTAAATATACAAGATGTATTTAGACTTTTCAAACAATTTATTTTATATTAATGTACAATAAAAATATAAATAAAAATATAAAATATTGCAAATAATATTGCAAAGTTTTTGAGTTTTAATTTTAATTTTTATATAGATTCTTTTTAATTAAATCGGCAATAATGAAACGAAATATTGCTCGTAAAATATTCGCTTTTCTTATATAAAACGGCATGACGCGTTACCACTCTCTATCTGAACTCTCTAGTTTACTGGGGGATATTCCATTCAAGTCCATTCGAGTTAGTTACCTAAGTGACACGTGATTCGTTCGTTTCAAGAAGTTTAGGTTAGATTTTCAATATATTTATCATTTTTCTTTTTTTACTCTAAAAATTTATTGCCTATCAAACTATAATCTTATCATAAAATTTCCAGAGAAAAAGTACAAATATGTTTAAACATAATTACAATTATTATTAAAAAGAAAAACAAAATTTACTCATCGAATCGAACGTTCATGTTTTGAATTACATATATGTTGAAATATTCAAATGTTTAACATTATGTATGAAAATTTTTGTAACGTGTCACTTTGATTACAGCCGAAATGGACGCACTTTTGAAAAAATTGGCTGTAGAGCTCTACGATATTCAGGCCGTAAAATTTGGAGATTTTAAAACAAAAATCGGCCTAAGGACGCCGGTATATTTTGACTTACGTGTAATAATTTCCTATCCGAAATTAATGGTATGTCCAATATATATATCTTTATAGATTTTATAGATGACTTTGCTGAATTCCGATTACCTTGATCAATAATTTAGTTGTTTCCTTAGTTGTTTTAACAAGTAGAAATATTAATTATTTGACATATAGGAAAAAAATTAGAGAGATTACGGATTACATAATCAAAAATTTTGCAGTTATAAACATTCTGTCGATTAAATTTATCAATTAAATTAATTATTGATTAATTAGAGCTAGATAAAAGTTATCCTTATAACGTCAATTCATTATAGTCTACATTAACAAAAACTTTGTGGGGATTATCGGAGGATTCAACAAAAGTGTCCCGAATCTGTGGAGTTCCATACACTGCACTGCCATTCGCCACTTTGATATCAGTGGAGAAAGAAATTCCCATGTTAATGAAGAGACAAGAAGCAAAGACACACGGTACGAAGAAGCTAATCGAAGGTGTCTTCTCGCCTGGTGACAATTGTGTAATCATCGAGGACGTCATCACGAGCGGCAGTAGTATTCTAGAAACTGTTGACGCTTTGAAAAAGGAGAATCTAAATGTGACAGAGGCGTATGTGGTAATCGATAGGGAACAGGGTGGCAAGAAGAATCTCGAGAATCATGGAATCAAAGTCAAGAGCCTGTACATGGTTACGCAACTTATGGACTACCTTGTCGAAGCTGGAAAAATTACTCCTGAAATAGTCACAGATGTTAAAAATTATTTAGCAAAGAATCGTGCACCGAGCGTTTCTATTCAAGGTAAATAAATATTTGATAACTTACATGCAAGTATTCTAATTGTATTCTAATCTTATCATCTTAATATCTGTAACTAATAGGTATTCGAGATGACAGACTGAAACTGCCATATGCTAAACGGGCAAAACTAACGACGAATTCATTGACCGTGAAGCTGCTGGAGTTAATGGAATCGAAACAAACCAATCTCTGCCTGGCGGCCGATCTGAAGAAAACAGATGAAATTTTAAAATTAGCAAATATAGCGGGACCTCACATCGCTGTACTGAAGATCCACGTGGACATTATAGAAGATTTCAACGATAGCTTCGTTCAACAGCTCCAAAAACTGGCAAGACAGCACAGATTTCTATTGATGGAGGATCGCAAATTTGGTGATATCGGCAACACGGTATCATTACAGTACAGATATGGTTTATACAAGATTGCCGAATGGGCCGATTTGATTACGGTGCATCCGGTGTCGGGTGCATCTGTTATCAACGCATTAAAGAAAAGTCTGGAAAACATCACCGAACCCCGTGGTATTTTCCTGGTTGCCGAGATGTCGTGCGAGGGTGCGTTGACCACCGGCGATTATCTGAAGAGCGCGGTCTCAATGGCGGAAGAAGCCTCTGATTTGGTTATAGGCCTCGTGTGCCAATCCAATCTCTTGACGCAACCTGGTTTACTTCAATTAACTCCTGGCGTTAAAATATCGAAAAATGGCGATGGATTAGGTCAGCGATACAATAATCCGCGATCAGTTATTAATGCAGGTGCTGATTTAGCAGTTGTTGGCAGAGGTATCATAGATGCATCCCATGATTATTTGAAAGCTACTTTAGAATATAAAAAGGAACTTTGGAGTGCTTATGAGGAACGAATAAACACACTGTGATAATAATATATATACTAATCTAATAACATATAATTCAGAAATTATTTTTGTGCAAACATAATTTCTATCTCATAATTAATTAATTTTTATCTTTTGTTTCTAAATCGATTTTGTTTTCCTTTCTTGACAAACATTGCATTTTTAATGTTTTACAGACTTTTGCAACTGATTTTTTTTAATAAAATAAAAGATATAGAGCATTTATATTTGATATCATATATAAATATACTACAAATTTGTCATACATAAATATATAAATATATTCTTATATATCTTTTAATATTTAAATAATATAATAATAAAAATTTAAGATAAAATTATTCGTTATGATTTTTTGTTAGCTACTATAAGTATATAAATAATAGATAATATAATCTATAGATTATAATACAATAATGTAAAAAATTCTAAAACTATACTTTTGTCTAAGCATTTATTTTTGCTAAAATATATATCAATTATATCTTATCATAGAATTTTCTACAATAATAAAGACAATAGCAAGAAAAAATATTCGATGATCAATTTAACATCAAATAAATAAAATTTGTGTTATCAATTATTGAATTTCGTAATTTGTACAATTCATTCCACAGAAATGAAGCAAGTAT